ATAGCGCAGGCCAGGTCACTACTGAGAGTGTAAGGAATATAAAGGGTCACTTTATTGGAGTGTACCTCAGATGGGTCTGAAAAGCCCAATGACAATGGCTTAATGCAGGCACTTATATCCACAGTGAAACCCCCTCCATATATCATTAGAGAGAATGCTGTAGGATACACAGACATACTACACTTTAAAAAGGTCCTGGATACATAGATCCCTGTATGATTCACTGAACTGAGGACACCAGAGATATATATATACCCATTGATAGGGCAGAGGCTGTATATGCATGCACTGCTAAACATGCAGGAGGAGTAAGGGGTTTTCCCAGACCGCGGTCTATTCAGGATAGGGAACCCCTAGTATGTAGATCGTGATTTGGTGCACTCTAACAGGCGGGGGAGGGAGCGTGCGTGTAGTGCTCCCTCCTCCACTTGGCGGACACACGCGGTCCGCGGAACGATCTGGCTGCGACTGGCGACCACGTGGAGAAAGCTCCGGTCGGCCGAAGAAAAAATACACAGGACCGCTGGAGACGTACTCTGTGGTCCGAGGGTTCGGGGGGGGGGGGTTTCGGAGGAGGCAGCAAACGGCCGGCCTCTCGAAACCCCCGAGCAAAATGAAAGCCCAAAGGGGAAAAACAGGAAACAAGGGAGGGGACAGTTAAGGGGATAGAGCCCCAAAGGGAAAGAGAAGTGAATCCTCACTAACCCCTGAAAAGGGTTAGAAATGTACCCCCTAAGGAAAAAAAAGAGTCCCCAAGACAATACAACAATATAGATAATAATCATACATATACAAAATAAAATCCCAAAGCCATCCACTAATAGTAGCAGGAGGCAGTGGTACTCTGACCTTTACTGATGCAGAGCAGCAGAGAAAGAGGAAATGGAATGTTGGGAAGGAAGTTATATGGTCTCCTTACTGTTTTCTGATTGGTTGTTTACTCTCTGGTGTTTTTCTGCTGCTGAGTTCTAGTAAAGAGAGACTTAAGCAAATATGAAGCCTCCTGTCATGTTATAAAATTGCTGCATAGAAGAGAAGAGTGGTTCATCCTAATGAACCAAAAGTTCAAACCAGAGTTAGGATTATTAGCTCTGGGTGTTCTATTGCAACCAATCTTCTGACTACTTGTACAATAGAAAATCTACACAAAGGTTACCTGAGATGAGGATGTTGCCCACATATATGGTTGTCTCTTAAAATACACCAGCTGACCAATAAAACATGTCATATTAAATGTATTGTTTTTTCTGCTGTTTCTGTTCAATATTTGTGGTAGATGTAGTTTTATTGAGCCTATTTCCATGATGGCATTATCAAAGTGCTTGTGAATCTTCGTTTGAAGTTCCATCAGATTTGTGTTTATGCTAAAATCCAATTCTTTATTCATATATGCGTATTTCTGAAAAAAAACAACAACAACATATAATTCGGTTAGTTCACCAACAAAATGCATAATATGAACTGGTTATGTTTCCCTTATGCTTCCTTTAAGAGAGCCAAAGAGGCAATGCAAAATGTAAAACTGTCATTAAATTGAATAACAAGAAGAAAAAAAAAACTAAACAATAAAAACTGAACATATAGAGACAGCTGCAGCTGTTACAGGCATATTCCTTGCAGAATGACATAATTGAGAGAAAAAACATTTCTGCGCCAGTTTTCTTTTATTATTATTTGTTTCCATGTATAATTTTTATTAAAAGTTTTCATGGATAATGTGGCAAAACCAGCCACCTCAGAATGTATTTTTATGTGTGTGATACTATCCCTTTAAAGACTGTTAAAACCAAGCTGATAACTGTATATGTATATTGTGCGAACAAGAGCATTGGTATGCTGCCGGCAAGAAAGCCACCGGCATTCATACAATAGTTTCATGAACAGTGAATTTCAACACTGTTCGTGAAACGAACTAACTACCGAATGGGAGACCACACACAGGAGGTTGTGTGGCTCCCATTAAATATTGCAACGATGTTTCCTTATATAATTATTGTGATTCAGGGTGGCCGCTGTTCAGCTACCGACCACGCGGCGGTCGGCCATCTTGGATCCTTTGTTAGCCAGGCGGTATTTGGTCGTCGAGCGCCTGGAACTAAAATGGGCTACTCGACGGCATGAATACCGCTGGACTTCCAGGCCGTTCGGGAGCACCGGTCCTTCGGTAGTTTGTTCCCCTATATGCATTCGGTACTTTAAGGTGAATGTAAAATAATATGTATTTTCGTGCGGCGTTCGGTTATTGATGCTGGAATCTGAGCGGTACTTTCACAAAAGGTTTGCTCAGACCCCAGCTATCTGATGAACGGTTATTCGGTAAAATAACGTGAATAATGTGAAAGTTCTGTAATTTTGTGTAAAATGTCAGTTCTGCTGCATGGAGGGATAACCCACTTAACTGGGTATTCTAGTGGGAGTATCCCTCTCGTACAGCAGTGCATGATGGGAGAAATGTCTGGGTTGTTAAGTCCCCAATGTAGTCCCCTACTTTACAACCCCCTGGAATGTCAGTAAGGAAACCCCTTGCATGGTGAATCCCATAAATACAGTGACCTGTGATTAAAAGCTCAGTTGACTCCCAGCCTATGTGTTGTCTAGTTCTAGGGAAGGAAGGATTTATACAACGTTACCGGGATTACTGTATGCTGTACTTATTTTGCCTGGATTATTTTATGCTGTTCCTGTTACCCAGATTCTGTAGATTATACTACCTCTCCGCTACAGATAACAAAAGATATCAATCGACACAGAGATACAACATACTTCCACATGAGCGCACACACGTTGAAAACAGCATACAGTTTCGTTTTTTTTTTACATCAATAAAGTTTAGTCGTTCATACAATGGCGTTACTCAACAACTTAGTCATATACAATGCATTTGAATATTACATCTTAGACATGTCATACTGTTTAGTGTTAAAATATGTTGCACTCCTACTACTACTACTAGTTGCACTCCTACTCCTACTAATATTTAGAGAATGCATCACACTGCATATCTCTCATAGCGATCAAAACTGAAAAGAAAAAAAAGGAATAAGCAAAAAGAAAAGAGGGGAGATGGAGGGAGATGAACTGGGTCGAAGGTAGCCTTCATTAAACCAGACCACTGCATGACCCTCAACACGGAGCTCTGTCTCGTCTTTGGGGGGATTTACTGTATGCTGTTAGAGACTGATTGCCAGGAGTGTAAGCCGCTTGGGTGCTTTACCTGTTCGCCTGCTAGCAGCTATTCGTGAGGTTCTAGTTCGGGAGTTTTGAGTGCTACTTTGTATGCAGTTCGGGAGTTTAAAGCATTCCCTTGTATGCAGTTCGTGAGTTTGGAGCATTCCCTTGTATGCAGTTCGGGAGTTTGGAGCATTCCCTTGTATGCAGTTCGGGAGTTAAGGAGCATTCCATTGTATGCAGTTCGGGAGTTTGGTGTTCTGCAGTAGCTGTGCCTGTATCTCTGGAAGGGGAAGATCTTATGAACGGCAGTTTAACCCTTTTATGCCTGGGGGTGCCGTTACAGTAGTCTTGCTCAGAAATGCCTCAGACTTGAGAAAGGGAGGTTCTCCCGAAAGCTTGTCATTAAAAATTCTGTAAGTCCAATAAAAAAGCTATTACAAGATACAAATGTTATCTGTTTATATATATATATATATATATATATATATATATTAATATAGAAAGTCCTTGCACTCACGCTTTGGTAGAATGTTTGTCGGGTGCTTGAAATCCAGGAAAAATTGAAATATATGTAGATAGTGATCAGCACTCTTGGTCTTTGATGATTAAAACAAAGTTTATTGATTATCCATTAAAAGTATATAAGATTGACGTTTCAGTCCCAGCAGGGACTTTCATCAGGATCAGGCATGAATAATGTGGTAAAACAGTGCATTTATATAGAGAAAACATAGATGATATTAGTGAAAAATGATTTACCCCTGGTGCTGAGAATAGTGGGAGTGGTGCCGATAGCATTCCCCAATGTCCCATGCGCATGTGTGGACGAAGCCACGCCCCCACGTGCCGTGATGACGTCACGCGTTGCCACGGCAACTAAAATCACGCGGTGCTAAAGTCAGGAAATAGCATGCATGTGAATGAGGAGTATACCAGGTTGTTATAGCAACCTGTATACATAAGTAAAATCGTGCAAGGCATAGCGGAAAAGTGATCTAAAAATCTATGTCCACAACCATTGGAAGTGCTTAAATATAGACATATAGAGAAAGAGCAGAATGTAATAATCAGCAGTGATACACTTTAGAGCACAATAATCAC